TTCGCTTTGGCAACACATGTAGTAAAATTGGAACGATACAGAGAAGATTAGCATGGCCCCTGCACAAGGATGACACGCAAATTCGTGAAGCGTTCCTTATTTTTTTTTTAATTCAATTTTTAATTTTTTATATATTTTATAGAGATGAGGTTTCACCATATTGGTCAGGCTGGTTTCGAACTCCTGACCTCAGGTAATCCACCCATCTCGGCCTTCCAAAGTCCTGGGATTACAGGCATGAGCCACCTCGGCCGACTGAGTGTTTCATATTTAAAAAAAAATAAAGTGGGCCGGGCGCGGTGGCTCAAGCCTGTAATCCCAGCACTTTGGGAGGCCGAGGTGGATGGATCACGAGGTCAAGAGCTCGAGACCATCCTGGCCAACATGGTGAAACCCCGTCTCTACTAAAAATACAAAAATCAGCTGGGTGTGGTGGCGTGCGCCTGTAGTCCCAGCTACTCGGGAGGCTGAGGCAGGGGAATTGCTCGAACCTAGGTGGCAGAGGTTGCAGTGAGCCAAGATTGTGCCACTGCACTCCAGCATGGCGCCTGGCAACAGAGTGAGACTCCGTCAAAAAAAAAAAAAAAGAAAAAAGCAATGGGCTGCTTTCTTTTAGCAATACCTATTTAAGGCTGGGTGTGGTGGCTCACGACTGTAATCCCAGTACTTTGGGAGGCTGAAGCGGGCAGATCATAAGGTCAGGAGTTTGAGATCAGCTTGGCCAGCATAGTGAAACCCAGTCTCTACTAAAAAAAAAAAAAAAAAGTAATATGTATTTAAAGTTCTCCATGTATGTTGTTGCTTGATAGCTCATTTCTTTTTATCACTAAATGATGTCCCATTGTATGGATATACCACAGGTTCTCCATTCACTGGTTGAAGGACATCTTTTTTTTTTTTTTTTTTTGAGACGGAGTTTCGCTCTTGTTACCCAGGCTGGAGTACAATGGCGCGATCTCGGCTCACCGCAACCTCCGCCTCCTGGGTTCAGGCAATTCTCCTGCCTCAGCCTCCTGAGTAGCTGGGATTACAGGCACGCGCCACCATGCCCAGCTAATTTTTGTATTTTTAGTAGAGACGGGGTTTCACCATGTTGACCAGGATGGTCTCGATCTCTTGACCTCGTGATCCACCCGCCTCGGCCTCCCAAAGTGCTGGGATTACAGGCTTGAGCCACCGCGCCCGGCCTTGAAGGACATCTTAATTGCTCCCAAATTTTGGCAATTATGAATAAAGCTGCTATAAACAATTACGTGCAGGTTTTGTGTAGACATGTTTTCAATTCATACGCATAAATTGTATTTCTTTTTAACTTTTGTATTTATGCACACACATTTTGATATAGTTGTAAAAACTAAACTTACATATTTTTCTTCTCTTTATTCCCCCGGGAGCATTGATTCAAGTTGCCCTGAATATACACACCCACATATACGTTTTTAGAAGTTGTATTTTACATAAATGTCTGCAATTTGCTTTTTAAAATAACAATAATCTTTTGTTATAAAAGCAGTAGATGTGCTTTTAGCAAGTTAGCTCATATGGCTAAGCAAAAGAAAATAAAGACACTTGCTGCGCACGGTGGCTCATGCCTGTAATCCAGCACTTTGGGAGGGCGACGCAGGAGGATCTTTTGAGTTCAGGAGTTCCAGACCAGCCTGGCCAACATGGTGAAATCCTGTCTCTATTAAAAATAAAAATAAAAATAAAATTAGCTGGAAGTGGTGGCAGGCACCTGTAATCCCAGCTATGCAGGCGGCTCAGGCAAAAGAATCACTTGAACCTGGGAGGTGGAGGTTGCAGTGGGCCAAGATTGTGCCATTGCACTCCAGCCTGGACGACAAGAGCAAAACTCCATCTCAAAAAAAAAAAAAAAAAAAAAAAGGGAAAGAACAGTAAGAGAGCACCGCTGCACTCCAGCCTGAGCAACAGAGCAAGACTCTGTCTCAGGCCGGGCGTGGTGGCTCACGCCTGTAATCCCAGCACTTTGGGAGGCCGAGGTGGGTGGATCATGAGGTCAAGAGCTAGAGACCATCCTGGTCAACATGGTGAAACCCCGTCTCTACTAAAAATACAAAAATTAGCTGGGCATGGTGGCGCGTGCCTGTAATCCCAGCTACTCAGGAGGCTGAGGCAGGAGAATTGCCTGAACCCAGGAGGCAGATCGCGCCATTGCACTCCAGCCTGGGTAACAAGAGCGAAACTCTGTCTCAAAAAAAAAAAAAAAAAAAAAGACTGTCTCAAAAAAAAAACAAAAACAGAACAAAAAGCAAAAAACAGCAGCTTAAAACAACTGTTTTATGTGCTTATAATTCTGTGGGTCAGCATTTTGGGTTGGGCTCTGCTGGGCAGTTCTGCTGGTCCTGACTGGGGTCATTCATGTGGCTGCAGGCGTCTGGAGGTTTGACTGTGACTGGCTGGCCTCACTTGCATAGCTGGTGGTTGGAGCTGACTCCTGTCTGGGCCTTTCTCTCCACATGGCCTCATCTACCCTCAGGGAGGCTAGCCCTGGCTTCTACGCATGGCCGCAGCAGTGTCCTAGGAAAGACTGGCAGGTGCATAAGGCTTAGGCTTGGATGGTCCACATTACTTATGCCAAATTTTATTGGTCAAAACAAAATGGGTGGAATCAGTTTGATTCCACCTTTGAAACAATGCAGAGGCTAGTGCAATGAGTCTCAAAGTAGGATCTAGGGATCCTTAGATGTCCCAAAGATTCTTAAAAAAAGGGACCGGTGAAGTTAAAACAATTTGTCAGCTGAGTGCTGTGGCTAACGCCTGTAATCCCAGCACTTTTGGAGGCCGAGGCGGGTAGATCACAAGGTCAGGAGTTTGAGACCAGCCTGATACCCCCACATCTACTAAAAACACAAAAATTAGCTGGGCATGGTGGCACACGCCTGTAATCCTAGCTACTCAGGAGGCTGAGGCAGGATAATTGCTTGAACCCGGGAGGCAGATTGCAGTGAGCCAAGACTGCACCACCTCACTCCAGCCTGGGTGACAGCAAGATTCCGAATTAAAAAAAAAAAAATTGTCATACTACTGTTAAGCCATCGTCCTTTTAAGTGTAGAATGGAGTTTTCCCAAGGTGTAATATATAATGTGATATTGCAAGAGACTGAATGCAGCAGATACTGTATGAGAATCTGTCTCCTATGAAGCCAAACATGGCAGACATTTACAGGAATGTAAAACCATTGTCCTTGCAATTTGTTTTGGAAAAATTTTTAGAGACAGGGTCTTGCTGTTGCCCAGGCTGGAGTGCAGTGGTACAATCATAGCTTACTGCAGACTTGAACTCCCAGGCTCAAGCCATCCCCTTGCCTCAGCCTCCCAAGTAGTCAGAACCACAGGTGCATACCATCAGGCTGGGCTTATATTTTTGTAGAGACAGGGTCTTGCTGTTGCCCAGGCTGATCTCAAACTCCTAGGCTCAAGCAATCCTCCTGCCTTAGCCTCCCAAAACACTGAGATTATAGGTGTGAGCCACTGTCTGGCCCAAACTTGTTTTTAATAAGTTATTTATATAAACGTCATTTAAAAATGTTTTTTTTTTTTTTTGAGACGGAGTTTCACTCTTGTTACCCAGGCTGGAGTGCAATGGCGCGATCTCGGCTCACCGCAACCTCCGCCTCCTGGGTTCAGGCAATTCTCCTGCCTCAGCCTCCTGAGTAGCTGGGACTACAGGCATGCGCCACCATGCCCAGCTAATTTTTTGTATTTTTAGTAGAGACAGGGTTTCACCATGTTGACCAGGATGGTCTCGATCTCTTGACCTCGTGATCCACCCGCCTCGGCCTCCCAAAGTGCTGGGATTACAGGCTTGAGCCACCGCGCCCGGCTTAAAAATGTTTTAATAAACATGTTTTAATATGGTGAATGTAAAGATGTAAATATCCCATGTAAACAAAATCTTCCAGATTTCTTGAGTCTTGCTTTGTCGCCCAAGCTGGAGTGCAGTGGTATGTCAGCTCATTGCAACCTCTGCCGCCCAGGTTCAAGCGATTCTCCTTCCTCAGCCTAATGAGTGGCTAGGATTATAGGCACCTGTCATCACTCCTAATTTTTTTCATATTTTAGTAGAGATGGGGTTTCACCATGTTGGCCAGGCTGGTCTTGAATTCCTGACCTCAGGTGATCTGCCAGCTTTGGCCTCCCAAACTTGCTGGGATTACAGGGGTCAGCAACTGTGACCTTTTTTTTGGAGTGTCTGTCACCCTGGCTGGTGTGCAGTATAAATCACTGCAACCTGGATCTCCTAGGCTCAAGTCATCCTCTTGGCCCCCCTCCCAAAATGTGGGGGTCATAGGTGGAAGCCAGCGCACCCAGCCCATTTTTTCATCTATTGGCAGAAACCCAAGTTTGAGAACCCACTTATGAGAAGATTGGTACTCTCATACATTATCAGAGTAAAGAATGTTTGGGACATCTGCCAAAATTAAGATGCACAAGTCTGGCAGTGTACAGTGGCATCTATCTATAATCCCCACACTCTGAGAGGCCTAAGTGAGAGGGTAGCTAGATCTCAGGAGTTGAACTAGCCGGGCAACAGGAATTGGGTATGTGGTAAATGTGCTCACGAATAGCCACTTCACCAGCCTGAGAAACAAAGCATGGCCTCATAATTATTGGAGAGGAGTTGAGAACTGAGCACATGGGGAAGAAATGGAAGTTTGTTGTCTGAGTAGTCGGTATTCTCTCATCTGTGTACAGTTTAGCACTGACTTCTTCAGGGATGAGTGGAAAAATGCTACTGCTTTAGACTGGTATTGGGTAGGTGAAAAATTTATTAGCTAAGCATTAAAAACGAAATCTGAAGCCAAGAACACTGATGCAAAGCCAACAAACAAGCTCTCTTGTAGACACCACTCCCTTCCATACCATTCTCTACAAAAGAAAACCACCAGGTGAGCTGGCATGGTCAAACCATACCTTCAGACAGGTAAGAATTTTTTTTTTTTAAAACCAAAAATTTTCAAAAAACACACAAACAAAAGGTAATCAGTTATTTAATTAGATCATCAGGACATTTAAAATACCAATTTGTGAGGATAAATTCCATTTGTCAGGGCAAACACAGATCGCAGGTAGCCCTGGAGCTGAGGAATAGCTTTGATTTTTGGTAAAATTTGTGAGTCCACAGCTTTCTGATCAATCTTGCGCTGTTCTGTAATCTCGTATTTCTAAATAAAAAGAAAATTAATCATTTTAAAACAGGCACTTAACAAATTACTTGTAAATCAACTAAGAAGTTGTCTCACAAGTACTAATCCCCAAGAATATTTAGCAAATATTAAAGGCAAATTCTGACAATCCTTTCCTTGGAATGATGTGAAATACAACCTGTTTTTAATGTAATAAAAACAGCTCTTATGCTTTTGTACGGTTTAGTACACATCAAGGATAAGGAAGGATACATTCGCAATACAATGGTAGCAGTTAATTCCCACACAATTCCCCAAAAACCTCAGGATTCTAAGTTAAGCTCCCAGCCTACTAAAAGAACTACTCAATTTAGAAGAATCTGGGCCGGGCACGGTGGCTTAACGCCTATAATCAATCCCAGCACTTTGGGAAGGAGGCAGGCGGATCACCTGAGGTCAGGAGTTTGAGACCAGCCTGGCCAACATGGTGAAACCCTATCTCTACTACAAATACCAAAAATCAGCTGGCCGTGTTGGTGGAAGCCTGTAATCCCACCTACTCAGGAAGCTGAGACAGGAGAATCGCTTGAACCCAGGAGGCAGAGGATGCAGTGAGATTGCACCATTGCACTCCAGCCTGGGCAACAAGAGTGAAACTCCGTCTAAAAATAAATAAATAAATAAAAATCTGGAATACTAAGTATTTCCCAGTATTCCTCATTATTTAACCTTTCATTTTTCTTTTTGTGCAACAATGCTTAGGCCTGTTTATTTTCACTCCCAGGTCGAAGGGCCAGTGCTAACACAAGAGATGACACACACAAACTTACCTCTTTTTCTGTGTCGAAGATCTCACCTTCCTGGTGTCTGGGCTTTCGCAGCTTCTTCTTCTTGAAGTAAGCATCAGTAAGATGTTTTGGGATTTTTACATTGCTGATATCAATTTTGGTTGAGGTGGCAATGACAAATTTCTGGTGCGTTCTTCGTAGAGGAACTCGATTGAGGACCAGAGGTCCTGAGGGGAAAAAATTAATTTAGTGAGGACCAACCATCATCCTTCAATATGTAACCATTACTTGATACATTGCTACACAAAATTTATACAACCACCTCTGTTTAACCCACATGCACACAAGGCCATGAAATGGGCCTCAGAAACTTGTGGTATTAAGTGTCAAGGATTTTCTTACCAGTCACAAGTAATAAGCCACTAGCCAGCTGCTTCAGGAAAACCACCCTCTGTAAGTTAAAAAGAAAGTAATTTTCTGCAATTAAAAACCGACTTAATTAATCAAATCACAGGCAATTTCTACATGTATATTTATATAGCTTGGCAGTTCCGGAAGCAACCACAGCAAGCAACAAGGTAGTACTCGGGCATAAAGACGTTTTTGAGCAAATGAACATGTGTAACATAATCAACAGCAGGAAATGGCTAATAAATCACCATGGATTAAACTTGTTATTTTCAACAACTAAGTTGTATCTTGCATATCATTTCCCCTTGCCCCAAAATAGGTAAATAAAGGAAAACTACATCTAGCATGCAAATGCATTGCCATCAGGCACCCCAGGCAGCTACAGTGAAGCTCGACAAGCACAGGCATTCTTACTTTGCCCCTGTGGCGTCCAGTGAGGATGATCAGAATGGTCCCGGGGGTGATGCTGGCTCGCAGTTTTCTCACGTGCTGACTGAAGGGTTTTTTGCCGTGGCTCAACAGCTTTCGAGGCACATCTTCAGTAGGATAATACCTAGGCTGGGGAGAGTCCATAGATCCAACTTATTTAAAATAAGCCATTCAGATTAGTAGAGGCAAGCTATGTCAGCCAAACTTTTGCTATAGCCTTTTAATTTATTTGAAAGCACAACTGTATTCATACTATTCCATTTTTCATTTCTGCTTAGATTTTTTTTTTTTTTTTGAGATGGAGTTTCACTTATGTTACCCAGGCTGGAGTGCAACGGCGCGACCTCGGCTCACCGCAACCTCCGCCTCCTGGGTTCAGGCAATTCTCCTGCCTCAGCCTCCTGAGTCGCTGGGATTACAGGCACGCGCCACCATGCCCAGCTAATGTTTTGTATTTTTAACAGAGACGGGGTTTCACCATGTTGACCAGGATGGTCTCGATCTCTTGACCTCGTGATCCACCCGCCTCGGCCTCCCAAAGTGCTGGGATTACAGGCTTGTGCCACCGCGCCCGGCCTCTGCTTAGATTTTAAACTTGGAAAGTCTAATGCTTCTGCATCCTCTGATTGCAAAACAAGACAGAAACATTTATTTATTTATTTTTTGAGATGGAATCTTGCTGTTCATCAGGCTTGAGTGCAGTGACGCAATTTGGGCTTACTGCAACCTCCGCCTCTTTCAACCAATTCTGCCTCAGCCTCCCAATTAGCTGGGACTTCAGGCATGTGCCACCACACCTGGCTAATTTTTTGTATTTTTAGTAGAGACGAGGTTCTACCGTGTTAACCAGGATGTTCTTGATCTCCTGACCTTGTGATCTGCCCGCCTCGGCCTCCCCAAGTGCTGGGATTACATGCACGAACCACTGTGCCCCACCGAAACCATTTAATGAATGAGCTGATGCTCAAGCAAACAAAACATCAAGCAAGTCACCTTTGTAATCTTGAGCAAAAACTAAACCTCAGAGATTACACATATGTGACATGCAACATTTTGCAGGTTACAGATACATGGCTTGTTTTCAATTCAAGTAAAATGTGTTCCTTTCCTCACCACTTCATCTGATCCTCACAGCAACAAGTCTTACTCCCACTTCATCCACAAAGGAAAACAAATTGCACAAAACCAGACATTAGGACTGGCAGATTATTTACTGCAAAAATTAGACACCATGCAAGGGCCATTAAAGACATGACTACAAATAACTCGCAATAGCCTATTTCTAACTATACCATATCATTAGTGCACTCTCACTTTCACCACAAACGTGATCACTTAATAGGAAAATCAGTTCACAAGGCAACTGTCATCTTCCCTCTCATGCAATCATCTTCAACTGTGAAACTGTATGGTGTAACATGTTTGGAAATGTTCCCAAAATGAAAATTACAGAGCAAGTCCTGAGACTTGGGTTTTTGTGTGGTAAAGGGGACCAAGATACACTGTTCTAGTGAGAAATGTTCTATAGAACAGCTTATGTATTATTTCATTTAATCTCCATAGTAACACTTTGAGGTAAACGCTCATTCCCATCTTATCTTTTGAAATGGGAGTCTCCCTCTGTTGCCCAGGCTGAAGTGCAGTGGTGCAACCTCTGCTTTCTGGGTTCAAGCAATTCTTCTGCCTCAGCCTCTAACGCAGCTGAGACTGCAAGCATGCAACTGGCTAATTTGTCTTTTTTTTTTTTTTTTTTGAGACGGAGTTTCCCTCGTTACCCAGGCTGGAGTGCAATGGCGCGATCTTGGCTCACTGCAACCTCTGCCTCCCAGGTTCAAGCAATTCTGCTGCCTCAGCCTCCCACGTAGCTGGGACTACAGACGCAGACCACCACACCCAGCTAATTTTTTTGTATTTTCAGTAGAGACGGGGTTTCACCATGTAGACCAGGGTGGTCTCGATCTCTTGATCTCGTGATCCATCCGCCTTGGCCTCCCAAAATGCTGGGATTACAAGCATAAGCCACCATGCCCAGCCTCATTTCCATTTTATTTTTTAATTAATTACTTTCTTCTTTTTATGAAAAAAATTCTTTAAAATATTATTTTTGTTTTTTGGGACAGTTTTGCTTTTGTTGCCCAGGCTGGAGTGCAATGGCACAATCTCGGCTCAATGCAACCTGGTTCAAGTGATTCTCCTGCATCAGCCTCCCGAGTAGCTGGAATTATAAGCACCTGCCACCACGCCCAGCTAATTTTTTTTTTGTATTTTTAGTAGAGACAGGGTTTCACTATGATGGCCAGGCTAGTCTCCAACTCCTGACCTCAGGTGATCCCACCCACCTCAGCCTCCTAAAGTACTGGGATTGCAGGCCTGAGCCACTACCCCAGCCTCCTTATTCCCATTTTACATGCCAACAACAAAACACAGAAGAGTAATTTAAATTATTTAAGATTAACAGTAAATGTTGAAGCCAAGTTGCAAACTCAGAGCCCTTTACTTTCTGCTACAAACTCTGGTAAGCAGAAACTTACAATACCTAAGTATTCAAAAACACCTTCACAGTATTCAATCATCAACCGAAAATCCAATTTACTGTCCCCACATCTTACCATTTTGCGAAGTTTAACCACCCGGGTACCGCCGTTTTTGTCACCACCAACTGGTTTTGTAACAGTTGCAAGAACCTTCTCCTTCTTTTTCTTTTCAACCTACAAGGACACAAATACATCAACGATTAGAAGATGCCAATTAAGGTTAAGACATAATGGTCAGTGGTCCCCTCTTCCCTTACCTTGGATTTAGCCGCTGAGTACTTCCTCTTGTACATGGCCTTTCTGGAATACATGGCAGATCGGGAATACCTGCCAATTCCTCTGACAAGAACAGGATTGCGGCTGCAATGGGGCTTCCCCTTCTTGGACTTTTTAGCCTTGGGGTTACCCTTTTTCACTTTGCTACCGGCATCAGCCTTCTTGGCTTCAGGTTTCTTCTCTTTAGTATCCGGCTTCTCAACTTTTTCACCCGCCATCTATAAATATTTTTTGTAGATAAAAAAAGGCACTTTACAATCATCTCTTAACAAGGCAATAATCCAACTGCACGTGGATGGGCTGGACTCCCCAGACTACAATCCCTCCCGCGATAAGATATAACCCTTCCTCTCAACTCTACCCATTCCACTCCAGTCTTCACTATGGTTCACTTGGGGGCTGTCTCCCCAATACACTGTAAGCTCTTTTTTTTTTGAGGCTTTGAACCGATATCTCACACTTATTAGGTTTTTGCCAAATATTGAGAGGTCAGGTACTGTCATTATTTTTTACCACTGTTTTGCGAATTAGAAAACTTAGATGCTGAATGTGTCCACAAGCAGGAAGCAGCAAAACTAGAACTTGAAACCCTTTACTTTCAGTATCTTTCGTCTTAATCCTTAAGACCATCGTCTCTTTTCAAGAACCTTGGTTTAGGAATTGTGGACACAAACACAATCAGCCCAAATTGAACCCAAACAGAAAAAGAACGCAAAGACCAAGAGGCCACTTCCGTCCGCGGACGCTGGGAGACGCGAAATCTTTTGGCTTCAGTCCGGAACCCCAACGTGGCTGAGACTAGCTCAGTGTCATTTTCTGGAACCCAGGAGACGGGAACTCGGTGCACGTACCGTCGTCCCGCTTCCTCTAACCCACCAGTCCGCTACGGGTCCCCGAAAGGGCCTCGTTCCCCCCAGCCCAAGAGACTGGCGAACGGCCGGTGGAAGACACTACGGCATTCCACAGTGCGCCGCCGCAAACCCAAACGGCAAAAACTGAAGTGCCTGGAAGGCCTCCCAGTTAGCCGTGGGTATGTCGGACCCCTGTAGGTGGCGACTGGATGCCCTCTAGGTTCGGATGGCGAAGGATTGGGAGTGCTGAACTCGAGTCTTGCACAGAGGCCCACGGTTCTTACCTTGCAAGATGGGAAAGAGAACTAAGGCCCCGGCTTCCGGTCTATAAGCAATCACGGGAAGTGTGCGTCTCACTTCCTTCCGGATCTGGGGCATCATGGGGAATGTAGTTTTTCCGCATTATGAAAAAAGTAGTAAATCCTAGGCCGTAATCCCAGCACTTTGGGAGGCGTGGGCAGGCGGATCACCTGAGGTTAACAGTTCGAGACCAGCCGGGCCAACATGGCGAAATCCCATTTCTACTAAAAATACAAAAGTTAGCCGGGCGTGGTGTCAAGTCCTTGTAATGCCGGCTACTCGGGATGCGGGGGCAGAGAATCACTTGAATCCGGAGGTGGAAGTTGCAGTGAGCCAAGATCACAACACTTCACTCCGGGCAGCAGAGCAAAATTCCCTCTCAAAAAAAACAAAAAAAAAAAAAAAAAGAAAGAAAAGGCCAGGCTCAGTGGCTCACATCTGTAATCCCAGTACCCAGCACTTTGGGAAGCCAAGGCAAGTAGATCACTTGAGGTCAGGAGTCCAAGACCAGCCTGGCCAACATGGTGAAACCCCATCTCTACTAAAAACACAAAAATTAGCCGATCGTGTTGGCGGGTGCCTGTAATCCCAGCTACTTGGGAGGCTAAGGCAGGAGAATCGCTTAAACCCAGGAGGTGGAGGTTGCAGTGAGCTGAGATCATGCCATTGCACTCCAGCCTGGGTGATAGAGCCAGACTCAGTCTCAAACAAACAAACAGACAAACAACAACAAAAAAACAAAAATTAGCTGAGTGTGGTGGTTAGTGCTTGTAGTCCCAGCTACTTGGGAGGCTAAGGTGGGAGGATCACTTGAGCCCAGGAGGTTGGGGCTGCAGTGCAGTGAGTCCTAATCTTGCCACTGTCCTCCAGCCTCGCTTACAGAATGAGCCTCTGTCTCCAAAAAAGTAAAATTAAAGTGAGGATAACAACAGTAACTTCATAAGGCTGTTGGGAACATTAAATAATATACACAAAAGTACTGGCAAGCATATTTGATGCAAGGTAAATCCTTTGTAAGTGTTAGCTCTTGTTATTGTCACCACCAACACCACAATCATCTCATCATCAACATCCTAGTTGTCAAGTATTCTGCTAAAGTTTATGCACAGGAGATAAGCAATATTGCATGCTATTTGACAAGAATAGTGCTGTGTGCCTTGCTTTCTCTCATTTAATTCTCTCAACAACCTGTGAATTATACTATTATGAGGAAACTGAGTCTCAAGGACTCACTTAAGTAGCTTGCTCACAGTCTCAAGTTAAATAACTTGCTCACAGCATAGATATGATTCCAAAGATTGCACTTTTTTTTTTTTCTTTTTTTTTACTATCTCCGGTAATGGGTATAAGCAACAAAGACTGCACTCTTTTTTTTTTTTTTTTTTTTTTTTTTTTTTTTTTTTTTTTTGAGACGGAGTTTCGCTCTTGTTACCCAGGCTGGAGTGCAATGGCGCGATCTCGGCTCACCGCAACCTCCGCCTCCTGGGTTCAGGCAATTCTCCTGCCTCAGCCTCCTGAGTAGCTGGGATTACAGGCACACGCCACCATGCCCAGCTAATTTTTTGTATTTTTAGTAGAGACAGGGTTTCACCATGTTGACCAGGATGGTCTCGATCTCTTGACCTCGTGATCCACCTGCCTCTGCCTCCCAAAGTGCTGGGATTACAGGCTTGAGCCACCGCGCCCGGCCAAGACTGCACTCTTAACCACTAGGTTGCAAAAATTAAAGAGATGATTAAGGAAGATACATGAGAGTTTTGCTCATGTTACAATTATAAACAGGAATATTGATTATTTGGGCTGGGTGCGGTGACTCGCCTGTAATCCCAGCACTTTGATAGGCCGAGGAGGGCGGATCACAAGGTCAGGAGATCGAGACCATCCTGGCCAACATGGTGAAACTCCAACTCTACTAAAATACAAAAATTTGCTGGGCGTGGTGGCACGTGCCTGTAATCCCAGCGACTCAGGAGGCTGGGGCAGGAGAATTGCCTGAACCCGGGAGGCGGAGGTTGCGGTGAGCCGAGATTGCGCCATTGCACTCCAGCCTGGGTAACAAGAGCGAAACTACGTCTTAAAAAAAAAAAAAAAAATTGGCCGGGCGCGGTGGCTCAAGCCTGTAACCCCAGCACTTTGGGAGGCCGAGGCGGGTGGATCACGAGGTCAAGAGATCGAGACCATCCTGGTCAACATGGTGAAACCCCGTCTCTACTAAAAATACAAAAAATTAGCTGGGCATGGTGGTGCGTGCCTGTAATCCCAGCGACTCAGGAGGCTGAGGCAGGAGAATTGCCTGAACCCAGGAGGCGGAGGTTGTGGTGAGCCGAGATCGCGCCATTGCACTCCAG